ATCCATTACAGAACCACAGCTTGAGGTGCGTAAGATAATGCCAAATCGCGAGGTAACTTCTTTCTGTGTCTGAGACCCGTAACTTCACTGGAAAGACACGGGTTAACAAAAAATCTCCCAGCCCTGTTGCCATGATTCCTTCTTCCACCGCCTTCTCTTTTAGGTTCACCAACGAGCAAACCCATTCTATTTTTGAAGTTCTACTGTATGGTTCGTCTTTTGTTTGCAGTTACAATCTGTACAAAATATGCGGCAAACATTCAGAAAACCTAATCTAGGCATGCAAGCTAACATAGATAAATCTTCTGGACAAATGTTTTCTTCAATTCTCTTTCGATATTATTCAGGTGTTTAGAAGTTGCTTTGCATCTGCAACATATTTATCACGTTAGAGCGTCACAGACTTTGTCGTCTATCACAGTCATTACACAAATATGTAATTTCTTCATTACCTAGGATATCAATAGTTGACTGAGGTTCTGAATTTGTTTTTCTGTGTAAGCTGTCTCTCGGTTCTTTCGTTTCTAACATAAACTGAAAGCGTACAGGTCTACAAAAGCGAGTTGGCGATGAGCGGGAATATTTAGCTACACAACAATTTTATATTTGCCAGGTTGCTGCGCATATAATTGTAATGGCACTACGGATGTGAGAAATTAATCGCTATCATTAAGACCCTGTGACATGTGCTTCTGTTACTTCCTCATTTGGGCAACAATTTTAAATTTTTCATCACCTGACAATAGAATAACGACTGGTTTTTGCAATTCTAGTAGCCGTTTTACTGTTTGATCTAAGAGGTATCTTGTAATATTTTGACTGACAAAGCTTCGCATGTAGTGATTGGAATGATTTCTTTTATATTCTGAGTCCTTTTACCAAGCTTACCTCATTTTCTGTCTCTAGTCGAACTCTTCAAAATTAATTCTGAGACAAGTTTTACGACATGATCTCATCCTTCGGTCTTTAGTTTTCTTTTTGTAGCCAAAGTGAGCTCCGCTGTTTTGGAATGTCGTTTTGTTCCTTCACGAGTCGCAGCAAGTTCTATCGCAGAACGACAACGGCACCTTTCTTCTCCATGTGGAGTTCCTGGTTGTGGCTCAGCAATGGATCGATTTCTTCTTGATTGAGTTCAAAAACAGGTTGAACGTCCAGCCGTTCTTCATGTCTCTACAAAAATCGTCAACTTCGATTTTGTAGTATCCGGGTAATTGTAAAGATGCTTATTACGATCTGAATGTCCTAAAGCCTTCTTTTCATACAAAACGTCAAAGAGTTGTCTTGTCGCCATTTCCAATCTAAGAAGCTAACCTCATTTTTCTGTCAATTCGGATAAACTATCTCAACAATAAATATTTACAACTGAAATAATGAAATAAAATGTGCAGTACCTGTTTCCGAATTCATTTTCATAAACATGACTTAAGTAAGCAAAATCAAAACATCTTGAAAACCAACTTGAAGGCGCATCTCAAAATCTAGTTTGTTATGAGGAAGTGCAATACTTGTATTGAAGCTAAGAAGAAGACTTTTTTGTGGCTATACCCAAACTTAAACTATAAAGTAAAAAATCAGAAAAATCAACTACATACCATGAGAAAGTTGTATGTACAAACACTGAATGCACCTTATAACATACAAACAGCAATTGCAAGTTTGAAACATAATTAACAAAGGCTTGCGTCTATTCCGATACTTAGAAGAAAGTCTGGGTTTGGCATCAGGTAATGACTTTAAGCTCGAAATTCTGAGAAAACATGCATTGTTAATTTCTCTAAGTAGCTGCTAATGCTAATGATGATACTAATACTTTTATAAATACTAATTTTTGGCCGCCTTTCCAACTATCTCGCTCACTGTGCATCTATCTGAATGATGAAAGCTTTGCAAATCAATGGGTTACACTGCCCGAATATCAGTCACGTGCACTATAGCGGATAGCCATCACCGTAAAGATTTAATTCATAAAAATTATACCAGTATCTAAAGATTATAATACTTTATTGCCGCGTATCTATATGTATTTACATCCAAATATCAACTATTAAAAGCAATTGCTTCATTGGTCCATTGTTGTACTCACAAGTATAGCATATACAAAACATGCACATTCATAAAGACGAGCTATCACAATTTACAATACGCTGCGATGCGGGCACTTAATTGGAACTTATGAGACTCAGATGGAAATCTCATGAAACATGAATGGATTCATTGAAATTACCCACATCATTCAGCCTCTCAATCGCCGAGGATTCCCCGTATAAAATGTATACTCGAATTAATAGACGTAATCCATTTATAAATGTCTGACATAGTATAGAGTAGCCAGATGAAACACAATTATTATCTGAATAGCTTTGCGTCTTCGTAAAAAACCCACAAATTACAAATTATTGCACAAAATCTTCAATCTTAAATAAATCACTTTGAATGTGGGGGTAGCAACTCTGGAAGTTTTAAGTGGGAGGTTGGGACTATTCCACACTACTATTTTCGAGTCTACTGCAGAAAAAATAACATTCGTAAAAATAATAACGTCTAATTAGGTGAATCCCATTTTGAGTTCAATAAGTAGCATACTTGATCCAAAAACAAAAAAAAAGTATCACCACAAAGTAGTAGACTTTCAATATACTAATATCTTGAATTTAGGAGTTGTGTTGTCATGAAATTTAACAAACAATGAATAAAACAATTATTGCAGTGAATTTAAACACAGTGTCCTTGTCGAAAAGACAAGCATACTGCAAATGATGTATCACAAGCCGCTACGTCACATTTCAAAAATGGGGTGCTTCCTCCCTCTTCCCCAGGTGTTGAATTCAATGACGAAGTTTCTATTCAAAAATCAGTAATTCTTTAATCTGATATTGAGCTAACGAGTCCATTCCGTTTGCTTGTTCCGCACTATATAGAGTAACTTATGAGGACACTGAACACTTGGCAGCCACACGATGTGATTCAGGTGACATAAGAATCCATGCGGAAGACCAAATTTGTGGATCTGAATAACAACTACCATTCTTAGCAACATAATCGTAATTCTGGGGGTTCTTTAGTTATTCTTTTACGTGGCGAGGAAGTACCGAAATCGCAAAAAAATTCAATTTTCATGATACATCATGAAAAACCGTATCACTAATTTCTGTCTGCTAATATCTTGCCCCTCTTTAACTCGGATTTCAAAGAAAAACTTTGTAGGTTTGGAAAATCGATCCAGTGGCGTCTGAGTAACGGTCAAAAAATGAAGAAATAAAATGTGTGCGTGTTCTAAAAGGGCAGAGGGTTGCGAATATCATTTTTGGTATCACTGAAAGACATTTCGCACCAATTCTTATCACAAAGATTTCTCATTCGTTTATGCCGACGATTCTAAGCAACACGAGCTACCTAACAAACCACCACATTACCAGCGGTTGGTCCACGCACTCGACCTCGCTGTAATTGCATGGGAAGTGCATAGTAAGACTATTTGATGCCATTTTCAAAAGCAAACTGTAAATAAGACTGGGAGCATTATGAAAAGAGATTGGGGATATATAAAAGGAATTCATTGGGAAGGCTCTACCGACAGTTTGAAGCGCTACCGCAAATTAATGAGGTGGTTAGACCACAAGCGATGTACAGTTGAAACTATCGCAAATAACTTTTTGATTCCAATAATATTGAGAAACAAACGGAAGGTTCCGTCCATCAAAAGGTCTAGTCTATGACCAGCAGAGTGTAAATTCTGTTAGGTCATAAATGTAAGACAAATACTTATTAGCACCCCAAGACTTGTTTGGACTAAAACTGTATGCGTTTCGTCATAGTTTACAACTATATAAAAAAACGACTTTGAAAGTTGAAGAGATGCTAAACTTCATTGGCCCAACGTTAACCAGTTCTCTACATTTTTAGCACGCCGATGGTTTTTCCTGTGCTTTCAGAACGATACAAAAATATATCTCTAGTGTTTCCAATTACCGTGGACATGTCCAGTTCAGTCCGAGTTTGCTAACGAAGTCCTTTTGTGTCTTCAACTCGTCTATTGTTTCGCAACTTGTTAGAGCTGCTGGCCACTGGATACGCTCAGGTTCATATTTTCTAAAGGAGGTCACCTCGCTGGAAGGTACAGGGTAACACTATGCTGCTTCCAATTTGACTCGTAGTAACTACAAAATATTAAATTTATGGTGAAACGCATTTAACTAATTTTCTCGTGAGGGTTCAAATATGCAAATTTTTAAGTCCGTGGGCTAGGGTTCCCATGCCCCCCGTTGCGAGCGCCGATTAGAAGTAGTTGTAGTAGCAGTGGTGGTGAATGCATTGTGAGGGTGTGTTTTTGCTTTTGTAGCACTACGATTGATAATTTTTTTATCAATATTGCTACTCGCTTAAGCCGCGTATAGACCGAAAATCCAACGCCGAGCAAACCAATGCAAGCACATGGGTGCTAATGTCGAGCGACGAGTCACTTCTCATCGAATGCAGACAAGCGACTTAATACTAGAAGCGCAACAAATCCTGTCCAGACCAAATCAAACCTCCATTTGATGTACCGATCAAGGAGCGAACTCAATTGAACACCAACGCCGACTTTGGACACCGTAGGCTTATGTTAGCTCGCCGTACACACCGATTCGAACAACTCCAAATCTGTAACCACATGTGCCTTGGCTTTCGTTGGAATCTTGGTCTGTACGCGGCTTTAGGTGTTATGTATTTGCCAGATGTTTCCTAAGCACGATCAGTAATTCAAAAAGGTGTTCAGTGGACCCCTTCAACGATATCTTGTTCGAGAAGACAGCTTTAGTAGAATATTTTGAAGGCTTGGATTTCTAAATAATAGCCAAATTCAACTCTAATGATGCATTTGAAAGAACTCGGCAATGAGTTGAAGGGCTCATACACTAGACCCACTATGAATAATTAGTTTTTGGTCTTTGGAGTCGATTCGTTTTATATCTTCGAAAGTAACCAGCGAATAGGATAGAACGGTCTTTAACCCCCTGAACTTCGGCTCCGTACTCCATCACTTATTAGGTATTAGGGACCAACTATCTTTTTACGGGTGCAGTACAAGAGTAAGCTGAAAATACCATCTGATGATGATGTAATTAAATAGGTGAACGATATTTTAAAAAGTATTTGTTAAATACTTGTAGCGACAGATCCTTTAGTATATATAATTCATATATTTTTGAAATATTTTCCCCAAATATTTAGAAAATATATGAGGAACTATTGTTAAATATCAATTTTATATTTTGATGAAATATCTAAATTTTTTTGAAATTTGTATGGATTTTCATCATCGATCTGATACATACTTTCAGTGCGTATAGAAAATTCTTCATTGGTTATTTGAGAAAAACCTGTAGGAATGCTTATATAAAATTGGGTGCATAAAGAAAATTCATTCTAGATAGAATGGTTTAATTTGCTAGAAAAATATTATTGAGAAAACATTCTAAGCCTCTTCTGCATCATGCAAGTCCACTCCTCTGAAAAAAATCAAACTTACTAATTATGTATATTGAATACATAAGCTGCTTTCCAGTGTATTTATGGGAATATAAAATACAGTGGAACAATATTGGTGCAGAGCATGGTGAGTTACTCCGAGTAGCTCAACTGGGCTACTGAAAAGCAGCTCTATAATGCACCTAACAGGACCCCACAAGGCTAGTTATTTATGGTCTTGTGAATACCTTTATACACAACTGGCGCAATAATGTTTACCAGTCAGATAAGCTATGTAATTATCGAAAAACTTACCATTTTCTACAAAAAAAAACACTTAAATAATGAACCACTTGGAGGTACACAGGAAGCACGCTATCATAGTGAAAGTCGCACGTAAAATGGATGCCAGGAAACAAGTCGCCTCAGGCCAGCTTGCTATTATCCCATTGGTCACTCGAGGTCACACGCACATGCGCCGTAGCAGAAAATATTTAATGAATGTTTTCTAAATATTGGAGATCAAATATTTTCAATTGATTGAAAAAATGAAAATTGTAAAAGAAATATTGTATTTAAAATATTTAAAAGATGTTGAATAAATATTTAATAAAAATATTTATTAAATATTTGTTTTCTTAAACAAATATTTAAGCAAGATAAAAATATTATTAAATATTAAATAAATACTTAATGAATATTTCGTGCTATCGGGGTTACTCCCTTCTATATCTTCATATTTTACTTTTTGACAGATGTCACGCACAGTATTTACTATGATTAGTGTTTATCATAGAATGTGATATTTCTTGGCCTCCTAGCCAGAACGTCGGTGCCTTATGTTTCAATCACATATTCTTGTAGCAACTATGCCATTAATGTTAATTAACATTCATGTATTATCTACTCTTTTACTAAAACAGATGTAGTTAGGTCTGTGTTTTATTCTTATTTCACCTTACTGGAATTCGTCAGCAGCAACATCTCAGAAGGAAACTGTAATAGTAATATAGCTTCAGCACAAAATAAAGTAGGCTTCCTCTCCGTGGTCAATGAGCGAGAGCTGGGAGACCATACTCTATTTAGGGTATAAGGTATAACGATGTTTTCACTTTCGCAGTGGTCGATTCTGGTAATCGATGGCACTTTGTGCTGTTCTATTTCAAGGAAATCGTATTGTCTAATTTCCTTGTAAATTAGACATCAACCTTTCCACAGAAGGAAGACCGGCACGGGTATCACGTATCTTGAAAAGTGACATAATGCCGATTTTTTCTGACATTATGTAGGTTATTATACAAGATGTTAAATTAGCACTTAGTTGTAAGTGTTGCCTAAACGTCATGAGGCTTGTTACCAATCTTTGGCTTGGATGTGATGTAAAATCTGCTTCTAAGATGGCATTACTGGAGGTTTAAGCTGTAAGTTGTCTCAAATACACTTCATTGAGATTCAAAGCTAGAAATTAGTTGCGCATCCACTTTTTATAATAATAATAATAATAATAACGCCTTTAATTGTTGTACAGGTGAGGGACAAAGATAGCGAAGTTTAGCCTAGGCTACTCTTACACTTAACTGTCTTTGTCAGTACATTTAGAGCACGATGTAATGTGCGTTGCCTAAGATGTTATAAAAAAAAATATAGTTATAACTAAACTATACTATAAACCAAAATACACAATTATATACAGTACTTATGTGCATGGATACATATACATATACATAAACACATATAAATATATACACCCATACACACCTATAATATTTAGATACATATATACATAAGAAAAGATACTGCGCCAATATCAGGTAAAGGTAAATACAAATTATTTTATTTTTTTACGGAAATTGGGACGAGACATTTATTTACCTGGTAAAGCATCGTAAAGTATGGCAGCATTATACGAAAAACAACGCTTGAAAAGTGTCATAGAGTGAGGCGGTATTCTGATTACTTTACGGTCTCTTATGCTCCTGCTATGAACTTCATGACTAAATATAATCTTACCTCTCAAATAAGCGGGCCTTGACGTAGCTATCAACTTGTACAAAAATATTAAGTACTTGTACTCAACTAGCTTCCCAATTTTTAGCCATTTCATATGATGGTACTTATCGCTAACATGGTCAAATTTTCTCAGCCCATGGATAAAACGGATGCAATTATTTTGAATAATTTGCAGCCGGTTCTTCACGAACTGGTCGAGACATGGATAGTACAGAACATCGCAATAATCTACTCGTAATATTGACATAACAAGAGACTCACACAATTTTTTCCTTAATTTATATATAATTTAGAAGATGGCGATTGGCAAACAATGCTCTCATTCTGGCACATGTCTTTTTAGTTAGTGACATGGCATTGCCCATAAACCTTAATTTGCTGTCTACTTCAACCCCTAAAATCTTAGCTGAATGTGTTAGTTCTAGCAGTGAACCATTTAGATGCACTTTAAATGAATTTTCCAAATTTCTTCTCCTTGCTTCTGAGCAAAAATGAGAGAGATAAGAAATAATTATATTCACTGTACACTGTCGAATTACAAGCCATATACAGTAATTAACAGTAATTACACACAACGCGGGCGCGGTGATGATTTCCTTAGTTTTTCGTAATTTATAACTTTGATCATAACCTCTCTTCAGAAAGCACAACATATAAATAACCTGTCATACTAGGCATATTCAGTAATGATTTCCTCACACAGCAAATATCACTGATTTTATACACATGCAGACCAATACACATAGTCATCCAGATGCGATCTTGCTATTCAACCAACTTCCTTCTCAGAGATAAAAACTATAGACGATCACTCAGCCTCACAAAACTATGCAACCAATAATGCTTAGCTTAGTTGAGCGTGTCCTCCATAGATGGACGTTCACAACGATCCTGGTGAGCAAACGTGGAATGACTGTTTGCGCCCTAAAAACTACCTAGTTTGCAAGTTGACATCTTATAGGTTTTTTTTGACGTTTTATAGGTTTTTTACATGATACTCGTGCGGAGCCTCCCGAAACAGAGCTACCGAATGACCCACTACTCATATAAACGTATTGGCTCAAACTACATTCATATTCATATTTATTTTTACTCAATGTTCAGAGATCGGTGGCGATATCTACCGGCACAGGTTCGATGTATCAAATGACGTTCAGCATAACGCTTAAATCCCTACACTACCCCCTATCCCGCCATCTTTCATAGCAACAATAACTATGTATCTACGAGCCACCAACCCTTTCCACTTTTGATAAAGAAACCTAGCCTAGCATTCACAAGCGCCATCTCTATCGAAAGCAGTCGAAGCACGCTTGCCCTCTATCGTAAATTTAAGGGCTTCTACCCTAAAATTTTAACCAGCTAGTCACAGTCGGCATCTCATCCAAGAGATGGATGTTGTTACTGTCCCAGTGGCGTAACTTTTGGAAAAAGCAACCAGCATAGTTTACCGTATTGTATATGAAACATATGAAAACCGCTTTGTTCACGATTGGGCTACCAGGAAAGCTTGTTTCAGAATGAAAACTAAAGGAAACTCTTTTGACGCGCGCTCAGACCTCAGGCCATAGATACCAAAGTCTGCCATTTTTTCCAATTAAATGGTATAAGATGCTGTAGATATCTTCGTACTACAATTATCCCGCAAACCTAAAGCATGAGAAGTACGTCCCCTCCCCACAACTAGGCGTATCCCACCCCCGCTTTTCAATTGCCACAAGGACAATCCTACCTCAGAAGCTCTCCTTATAAGGATAAGGATGATGTCGCCACCCCCCGCTCTGCAGCCCTTCAATTTTCAATGATCGAACCACCCTTGCTTAACAATACCTTAACTAAGAAGCATAGCTTTTTTTCGAACTCACGCAACGACTCAAACAAATAGGTCATAGATAGGTACCTCGATGAAAGTTAAAGAAACTGAGCATATTACCAACTTACCAATTGACACCTTAAATGTAGGATTAAAATACACATATTTCTATTCTGCATATATTGCCGCATTCCTATAACGAGAAGTTACATTCCTCCCTCTGGGTAAATGATGATAATGACGTATAGCTTCATTGACTTGTTTAGCACAAAATACTCGCTGCTAATAAACCATCAATCCAGTTTTAAATATTACCAATAAGTATCGCACACTACAGGTAAATATGGGGTGTAATTTATAGATGACCATTGTTGTTAATTCAGGTACTATGCTTCTCAGGATATAACAGTTCTCAGCTAATAATTACTTGATCATACGAACTTACCTGTAAGTTAAGTTCGATTCTAATTATGTGTCAAAGTAAATACTACTTGTAGTACCCTCGTATCTTACCAAATCCACGAGTTCAAAGCGGGTACGCAGCGAAGGAAAGGCTTACCGCGCCTCCTGCCTTCCTCCTCTCTGGTCGCCTATAATCTCTCATTTCCTTGAAAGCCAAGTTGTTGCAGCAATTGGGTGACACATAGGGAGCGAGAGAGCTATTTACTTCGAAGAGACCTTCACACAATTAGGCTCAAACATCACTTACAAGTAAGTTCGTTTGATCATGTAATTATGTTCCGCTCTCGTCGAAGTATACTATATACTACTTGTAGATGTTCAAAGCGAGTTGTAACAACATACTCCTTACGCTCTGCAATAGTAAACGATAGGCTGTACACAACTTCACAAATTATACGCAATGTATGTGTTAACTAAACGTACACTTCCATTGTAACTACTTAAGTGATGGCTTTTAACAGCAGGTAATACAATGTACATAGTTTTAAAATTTACCATCCGTTACACGGAAACGAGCAACTAAGAGAGTTAATAGGCGACCAGAGGGTAGGAAGGTAGCGGTGAGCTGCTTTCCTTCGCTGCGTGCGCGCCTTGAACTCGTGGGTTTGGTGGAATACGAGGTTACTACAAGTAGTATTTACTTCGACGAGACTGGACATAATGACATACTATTTTGTCAAGGTTCTAATATACGACGCGTCGCATGATTTGGGAATGTCTCCTCGTCTTGGACCTTTATTGTAAAATGTTAATATTAGATGTGTCTAAGAAATTTTCTAAGTTATTCTGAAAGAAAAAATGATCGTAGTGCTTGTCTCACTTTCCTGTGTTACCGGCTATAGCGTTAAATAAAATGGACTCAAGTTGAATTACTATACTCCTCCCACGTAATGCTGTCATTAGCTCATAAAAGATTGTTCACTGGCCACCCTCAGTAAAAAGTTAACTATGAACATGTATAATATAGGAAATAAATGGATCACGTTTGACAACGCGGTGATCTAGTTGCAATTCTATAGTAACGCTATAGCGCTGTAAACTAATATTTATCATTAACGTTCTGAGAAGTGTAATAGCTAAAACCGCTGGCTAACAACTTCTGCGACCCGGGATAACAACTATACATGTACCACAGAAGCGCAGCCTTGCCAGCGCCAACGACCAGTTCGCGACAGGTTTATCTTCTATCTTAGTTGTGCCCGACACGGGTATTAAATATATTTCATTTCAAGTCTTAAGGTCAAATGTACAGAGAAATCTATGTGTGAAATGTGTCTAACGTCTAACAGGTGCGTGGAATTCCCGGAGTAACAAGCGTCTCCGTACCATGGGCTCAGACTAATCTTCAGCGCATCTGCTACTCTCTCCAGAACGCATAAAGTATCTAAAGGGGACCGCTGTTTTCATTTTGTTCCTGGAAATACTCTAATAAATTTAGCTCGAGCTGACGGCCTTCTCCATTGATCGTATTTCCGGGCATTGTATAATTTTATATTGAAGATTGATAACAGGACAACTAAAATTGCACACCGATGTGAAGTAAGTTGTCACTTTGACAAATACGATTTAAAGGCACTCATACGTAATGACAAAGTTTTCGAGACGGAGACACACAACTAAAACACGTGTGTCTTACCGAATAAACGTTCACACACACAGGGGTAGGTTGCATGTGTATGTATGAGAGAGATGGAGATATATAAAGGGGTACTGGTAGTCTTACTTTGACCCGCCAAGAACGGTGACTACAGCTATACCCTACCAACGTCGGAAGATTGAAATATACCCTCCCTTCCCCCTTGCAACCCACCACCTCTAATTTGTACCCCACCAAAAATTTCCAAAAACAAGTCCATAGAATGCCAAAAAGGTTTGGGCGGTTTTGTCGTGTTTGGCTTTGTAGTAACTTTTTATCAAATTTTTCCAAAATGCGAGTACAAACACCTTTCCAACTATCAGCGCAAAGACTGACGGAAATGAGAGAACATGCTTTCTCGTGATGTACAAGCCATGTAACATTCAAAAAACATATCTTATTTTAGAATATGTTCGCAATTAATACTTGTGAAGTGCAGTGAAAACAACCCCATATGCACCAGCCCTGTATTCCACCCTTTATCGCTGGCAGTCGCCGTTGCGTCTGAATCAGGGCGCCACATGCACCCTTCGATTTTCCGGCGGTGTGATACAGTGTTGCCAATTTGATTATCATAAGGTCGTGATGAATTTTCACGAAAAAATACGTACATATTGGCAATAAACAGTTTGTATCAGTGTAGTCTCTAACTGTTCATTTTTAATCATTATTTCTTCAAATTGTAATGTTCAAGTACACTATAATTGTCACATTTAAATTTTTCTGGCAAGTCAAAAGGTACAACACTATAAAACGACTAGCTGTGCTCATTTAGTGAATAGCATAGGTAACAGCAAAAATCTTATGAAACTGGTGTTTGAGTTTTTTATATTCTGAAACCCTGCTCGGTTATACCAAAAATTATTTGGAAGCGCAAGGTATCCTATAATCGAGCATATTTCTAGTTTTCTGCTAATTACTAAGCAGCCCAACCACGGGTTTCTCGTAATTTTGTAGGATTGCCAATCAAAGCAGGCAAGCCGATCCAGTGACAGACAAGCATACACGTAGAGATAGCAGGTACAAGCTGTTGTTTAATCTGGAACGAAAATAAAATATACGCAAAAGGATGAATCAGCACGGAAGTTAGAATATGTAACATTAAGATTTGGTGAGAGAGGATAAAATAACACCTAAATAATCAGCATGAATATCACAATCATTAGATACAGCTAGATGCAATGACGAGTCAGTCGATAAGTTGGTATTTCACCTCCTCAATCCGAAAGAGGCAGATGAGCGCAACTAACTGGAGGAACATTAGCATCAATTTGCAATAGTAAATAGGCGCAATCTATGGAACCATCAAGGAGCTTTTAAGGAGTTGACGCTGAGTTCCTGATTCTTCTCAAACTCAAGCAATCCATGGGAGGTTGTTCACTGATCATAGGATACACTCCCTCAACTTTTAAATATATTTTTTCCAGGAAACAAGGTTGCACCCTCTCTTTCTTATATGCAATAAGGCTTCCATATAAATAAACAGTCCTCTCACCCAGTGGTGAACTGGTGAACAATTATTGTCAATTTTTTCAATTTGTTTCTATAGACTCGTACATTCTTGCAGCTTCATTCAGTTTTTGCTGTATATATGCTCCTTGAAGCTGAGATTTGTACCCAACTATACGCCAAGGTCCTTGACTCGACGTTTTCTCTATAGACAGACGGAAATAACATGAATATTTCTGATCATAAACCTATTTCTCAAAATAAATATTGCGATAGTTTCTCTCATATACGCGGAGCAAGATTCGCAAAGTTGCACGGAGAATTCCTTGACTTGGCAACATCGCTCTGACCGGCAGCGTCAACCCTCCAATGATAAAACGTCAGTCGGTGGTGCGGATTGCCGTCGCGACGCAGCCACCCCGTTGCCGACGCGTCTCCGACCCACTACACGAACACGTCTTGTCCGACGTTCCGACCCAAAAACAAAAAGCAACCCTTTGCACGCGACCCTCATCGCAACTATGGCATTTACGTGTCAGACGATGGAAGCTTGAACATTTGCGGTAATGCTTGCGCTGCATCTCCTTGGGGTTTCATGATGAGGCAATTAGTGGGCACTTTGTTATGTCGGTTAACCCTAGAAGGAGTGAAGTCTATAGAGTACCAGTACCACCTCTCTCGTTCGCGTACTGTCCTTCTAGAGCCACTGCAATAAACAAAGCTTCATGTTGAAGCAATTAGTGTGGATTCTTTGTTATATGGGGGTATTGCTAGGTTAACTCTCATAGCAGTAATATCTGTAAAGCTTCAGTACCACCAGTATAATCCACGTACTTTATGTCCCATCTGGTTCCTTTATGATAAGCAATATTTTGTTGCATATTGCAGCGTACCTGGCGTTTCATAATGAGGCAATTAGCGTCGATACTTTGTTACGTGTGGATGGTTTGGGTTAACAGTCCAACGTGCAGAACCTAAAGAACACCAATACCATTAACTTGGATCAAGTATTTTCTATCCCTTTCTGACATTACGAACAAGATAACTTCCTTTATATTGTTTCCATAGAGTTTCATGATGCAACAATTATTAATGGATACTTTGTTATGTCGGGGTGTTTCTAGGTTATCCCCAGGAGGAACAAAATACATAGAGTACCAGTTCCACTTGTCTCGTTCTCGTACTTTCTATATGTTCCTTCTGGTTCCTCTACGATAAACATGATTTCATTGTTGTTGTATATATATAAGTTAACTTTAGGAGAAGTGAGATCTATAAGGTTTGAGGAGCACCACTGTGGTTCACGAACTTCCTTTATGTTCCTTTTGGTTCCACTATGATGAACAATACTTCGTTTCGTATAATGCACATCCTTGGGGTTTCATTATTAGGCAATTAGTGTGGATCCTTTGTTTTGTGGTACTATCTACTTGAATTACGTATTCTGTATTGCTTCCTTTCAATACGAACTACAAAACTTTCTTTACATTCATTGTTTCTCAATGACGTTTCATGATGACGCAATTAGTGCAGATACTTTGTGATGTGGTGTTGTTGATAGGATTTGGAATTGGATTTTAAAAGCATAAAACTTGTAAAATTACTAATATCATCACTTTTATTACGTCCCTTTCCAGTATTATACTACTATGGTCAACATAACTTTGCTTGAAAGAAGTTCATACAAAGCTTACCGACTTTCCTGTTGTACCATTCCCAGCCAATAGTCTCAGGCATGAGTAACATACTAATAATACAGCAACTACTATTGCACCAGTTGCTATAGTCAAAGTTCAGTTATAAAAAGTTTTTCTTTAAGTGTCTAAATATATGGGACCCTATACTACTGCATGGATTACGTCATAGTCAACAAAATCCTTGGGTGGGAAAATTGACCTATTTATATCTGTGCGCTTGTCGCATTTATCAGTGTTTTAACATTTCATCCCACGGATACTTCCGCAACTAAAATTTTAGCCTTCATTCTGACATGTTCAGATACTGCAATTCTATGGATTATGCCGTTATCTGTTCCTAGTTGATATATTCTAGCTATCATATAGTTTTTTAAATGTTAACGCCATGCAGGTCTGGTTTCCGAATGATTCCCTCCAGTAACTTTTAAGCAAATTTGATAGTTCAGGATTGCTCCTGAAGTCGGCAACATTTACCTACAGCTCGTGAGAACGACTACAGAAACTTTCTTATAATAACGTCACTACTCTGAAAGTAAATATACTTTGTCAACTTCTATCGGCTCACATTTAAGTAAATCTAGCGGAAACACTTCTAGCATGAGAGCACCGAAGTAAACAAGCCTACATTTTCTGAGAACAGGGGCGAATCCAGAGCATCAGGGCAATATTTTTCCTAGAAATGTTCTTAGTATTAAGTCGGCTCATCTGAACGTTTTTCTTCATTTGTAAACATTGCTAGATCTCCCTAGTTCTATTTTCATGGACGTTAACATGAGAAACATATAATGGATGCACTGTTCTTTGGTCGAATAATATAAAGTGCTATATAAACATTCAGATTTATGCTAACTTTGCCTTGGTCGTCGTATAAATGGGTGACTGCCAGTAACTGAAACCGGATGTACTTTTCTATTGTTTAGCGGATTTGTTTTACACATTGCACTACGAAATAGATCAGTTCATTTCTTGAGAAAACCACTTTTTTGAGAAATTGAGGTCTGGTCTGACTAGCCTCACCACAAAGTACTTCAACCAATTAATGTTCCTATTGAGGAAAATCTTTTATTGCCTTTTTCGAGCAACAGAAGTCACAGACTTAAAGCTGGATATAAAACGAACAGTCTACCCCGATATAACAATTATCTGATTTTGGAAAAAAATTAGTCCGACTCACAGAAGCTCCTAAAAATCAAAGCGTTATCGGGTCATCAAAGTCCAAATATGTATTCTGAAGGTTAGAATCAGTTACTCAGCTGGAATACAACTCACATAATAGACGTTAGGTTTGCTAGATACGATATGGGGTTTAAAGAAACACAGTTTTCTGTTACAAAGTTGCCCGCGTATCGGAAAAATGTATTTCCTCCTTCAAGGCTAATATCTAAGATGGACATAACGTTGGATTATTTTTTGACCATCACAATTTCGGAGTAAAGCGTGAGTTCACTATAGTATAGTTTTTCAAATACAAATCTAATCATTTTATCTTTGTTTTATTTTTAATTTTGTGTGTGTATATGTTGGGAATTGCTATATTGTTAATGAAATTCAGGGTTGAGTTTAAATAGCTAATTTTATATAATGTCCTAACCAAAATAAGTATCTTCCACTTCGATTTTATTATTTAAGTTCTTAAGTTATTGTATATATATAAAATTACTGTTTTATTTTTTGTTCTGGGACCTGAAGGAAATACATTTTTCCGAAACGTTCGCAACAATGTAACAGAAAATTGAGTTTCTTTAGATCCGATATTAAATTAATAAAAAGAAATTTATATAAAAATGATAATTAGCAGAACAATTTTCTATACCTGATAATTATTATTTTAAACATACCATAGTATTTAGGAAACAACGTGTTTACGAGGTGCATTTAAATCAAACATTTTTTATTAATTATACATGTCCAAATGTGAAGTAGTTGCTCAATTTCTCTGCCAATGGAACTTTTTTCCAGGTCAAATGCTTTATAAGTTGAAATATTCAGCGACTCTGATAACAGTCGTATTGAATTTCCACAAAATGACGTATATTCTCAAAAATAATGATACGGAAAGGAAATCAGCACGAGTCGTCATACTGGCCTGCATTTGACAGGCCGTAATAAAGGTTGAGTTTACAGAACAATATGTCTGTCCTTCACGTCAGTCATTGTCCCACTTGTAGCTTCACCATGAGACCCCGTTTCGTTTAGGCACAGCCTTTAGAGGAATGCAAGCACATCATATCGCAACCAATCAAAGGACGCGGACAGTAGAACTTAACCGTAGACCATGCTGTTGAAAGAGCCAGGATAGTTGGAACACATAGTAAAATGCCGGACTTAGTGACGCGTCATCGTTCGAGATGACGGAGGACCAAATATTTCGGTGTATCGCAGCACTCCAACTGTCGTAGTAACGTGGGGGGACAATGCCGGGGGGTAGGAGAGGGCTAGTTGCTCCACAGAACACCTTCTTGGAGAATATCATCAGGAGGTCAAATTCGCAACGTAAGTACTTGGGTAGCATACATTTTCATCTGAATAATAATACGTTTATCTATTTAGTTTGACATCACGATAATGAAGAGGTATGGATAAAGTGGTTAGTGTAGTTATTACTTTAGTAGCATTAGCATTTTTTCTAATTTTTTCTTCAAAGTGTAATGGCTGTATTTGGTAGGTGATTATTGAACTTCTTGGCAGCTACTTAAGAAAAATTATGTTCGTAAAGTGGTGGTGTATGACTAGTGATTGGCTATTTCTATTTGTTAAGCTGTCAATTGTCTCAAATCCTTTGTAACCTCTTAACAAGATATTCTGGTTCTTCGTTAACCAGCATCTAATGAACTAAATGTAATTGGTTATAAGTTCTTAGATTTTCTAAATTTAATTTTCTGTTTTCCTTATAAACATTGTAGTCAAATTTCCTTATAACAAGAGAGAAGTAGAAGCAGGAATTTTGTATGTTGTAATTTTATTTTATCTTTCGCAGTAAAGCCGGTCCGTAAGCAACATCACAATAAGTTATTTTAGAAACGATTAGTGCATCACACAATTGTATTTTTAGTTCGCTGTTCAGTAAATGCCGTTGAGGGTGCAATTGTTTAAGAATGCTCTATGATTTTAAACATATTTCCTTTACCTGAAACTCAAATTTTAATTGCGTGTCAAGTCAAAGACCAATGTTTTTACCTACATTTACCATGGTTACGATTGGTAGAGGAACATTATCGATATCACGAAGATGAGAAATCGTACTTGTGGATAACAGCTGAACTTTTTGCAGGAATGCCGGAAAATGATCTGGAGGCGAAAAGACACATTTCTCGAATAATGAGGAGATATTCTCGTGAGAAATATTCCAAACCCGTTTGCTATTGCATTTTACACCACCAGATGTTTCGAATAAGTCATAATAAATTGTTATTAAAATCACTTCCCCATTCTTCAAAATTGGCGGAGTCGTCTATTACTTGTTTAGGGATGTCTGTCGCATTCTTAATATCAAAAACTACACCACTGCTGCGAAAAATCATTTTTAGGATCATTATAGCCTAATGGAAATTTCCCCATAACTTCACTCCTTGTAATTTCAATGTACCATCAAATAGCAGTATAGGCAAATACAAAAGTTTTATGAAACATTGATCATTCCATAGCACGCACTTTCACCATTTCTGATATATCTGATAAATATGTTTCACCGACCACTTCCGCCTGCATTATGAAATTAGCTACATTTAAGGTTCAATATTGTGAAAACATATTACCCACTCAGCTGGAAGCGAGTAGGTTGAAAACATTACGAGTATACTTCAAACCTTGATTGATCCGTTCAGAAAAACACAGCTCTGCAAGGGTGAGATAATCCTTAAGTGAATGCTCAGACTCTTATGGAGGATGAAAGCAAACTCGCGGTTTCTTCCTTTGCAGATTAATCAATTCTTTACCAGCTTTTATCTACGAGGCTGTTTGTTAATACGTATGTATATCAGTATATGTGCTATAAATCTTGGAACTGAATCTTAAACTAGTTAACCTAAACCAGTTAAGCTGAAGCTTTGTACGTACGCTTGTCTTGCGTGACAAAACAAAATGGATTAACCGCTGCCATTTTGAATCCAATATGGCGGATGCCACAAAATGGCGTTTCATTATTTCTATAGTAATCCTTATGATATGGATATCAAACGAAAGGTCTTGACGAGAGAAACAGAATTAATGAAGTGACGCCATTCTAAATTCAATATGGAGGTAGCCACAAAACGGAAATTTACATTTTCACAGTAACCATGTATGACATGAGTATCACGCAAAAGCTTGACGAGAGAAACGCAATAAGGAAAGTTAAGTCATCTTTGGCCAATATGACGACCGCTACAAGATGGCGTTTATAATTATGATAGTCACCGCTATGATATGGGTATCAAATTAGAAGGCTTTATAAGAGAAACATAAGGTGATTCGATTATTCGCCGCAAAATGGCGTATTACTATTTCCAAAGTCACCTTTATGCTATGGGTATGAAATGGGGGAAACATAGTGAGATAAATAACGTTATTTTAGATCCCATATGGCGGCCGCCGACGAATAGCTATTTATAATTTCTATAGTCACCGCTATGATCTGGGTATCAAATGAAAGCGCTTACTGAAAGAAACACTTTTAAGCAAATAACGTCATGCAATATTTCGTTGCCGCAAAATATTGATATATGATTTATATCTACCGAAATTTCATAGCACAAATAAAGTTGTATGGAGTCTCATTGATGAAATATATGGCAGTAACATAAAAATTACCAAACTACTACAGTAAATTCAATTATCCAAAAATGGTTTTGATTGAATCCAGAATATTCGTGGTATGACCGGAAGAAACGCGCTAAAAGGTCAACGCTTGGGAAAGGAAGGGATTGAAATAATTACCACCGTGTAACCGTACCCATGTTACTAACCTAGGATAATTATTTCAATTACCTTGCTTTTACGAAACATCCTCGTGTTTGAACTTTGTTAAGCCAAACCTATGCATGCACTTTTTAAACCGTCACAGGCATGTTAAATGAAATTCTGTAGTATTCCTAAAGATCGACAAGTACACTGAAAAATGAAAATTCATGGTAGAGACCAATTGATTATTATCGCTTATAAGTAAATCAATCTTTGATTAAAACACTAAGTAATCATTGCATTGCCCTTGAGACGGTACTTGAAAGTAAAAAAAATACTAACTCCTTGACTGTTGCCCTATTCTGGATAGCTCAACGTATATATCAAAATTATAATCCTTAAAAAGCAACGTCCTGTGGCAGCAGTTTTTACATGAATGCACAGCGTCGCAGTAAATTTTCATAGAGGCAATGAATTTCGCCCTGAAATGACTCGTTTTACTGAAAAAGGCTCCAGGCTGATTGGATTAAATAATTGCTAACTTCGTATATGACGAAGGACACATAGGCGTACAGGCAATAAGGCTTCTAGCTCGGCAGCTGTATTCAGCTATAGGATATTCGATCATTTCAGCATAATCACAAAGTAGCAGGTACACGAGTTTGGGGAGCTAAACCTATCTATGTGCTTGACGCTATTTAGTATAATCATATTAGACGAAAATACCCCTGGTTTGCGAAATAATTGTAAAGTCTGGTTTTATTGCTGCAAGTTGTTCAAGTGGGTATTTAAAATATGGACACATAAAATGGGTACACCAATTTTTGTGGGAAGACCTTTTATTCGACAACAAAGAATGAGAGCGTTTTTTGGGATTCAATCGAAAGTGTTGGCAGGAACGAGAAAACTCTTCATATAAAATTTTTTGGTATTTATGAGACCAACAAAATGAGACCACACGTGAAAAGTTCCGACTAATAGCAAAAAAGTTATGGCCGAAAACCGAGGCAAACTTCTGGTTTTGGCACTTGTTGGTAATGCGACGATGAAATCCTTCAAATTTGTAGGATTCGTACTTCTACATGACCACAATAAAATTGGAGTAGATTGGTCAAGTAGTTTTTGAGAATTTGTAATTGCTTATGCCAAAACACCTGTTTTCCGGCCATCTCTACTAGTTTATTGTGCAGTATACAGGGTTAGTTCAAAGGTCATTTTATAGCAAAATACACTCTAGTTTGCCATGCCGATCTGAATCGCAAACCATTCCGGAAGCTAAATGTTATGTTTATGCCAAAAAGGATGGGTTACGTTTTTTTCTTCTAAACAAATTGAAACATTTCATATTTGTGAGTAATTCGCAACAAAGGATGATAGACACATCCGCTTTGTTTTAAAATGTGTATAGTAACGTGTGTTTTTCGAATATCATAGCACATTTTTTCAATTACTCGCATTACCAACAAGTGCCAAAACCTGCATTTTGCCTTCGTTTTTCAGCCGTAACATTTTTGAAATCAGTCTGATCTTTTTACGTGTGGTCTCATTTCGTAGGTCTTATAAAAACCTAAAAATCTTGTATGAGAAGTTTTTTCGTTCATGCCGATACTTTGGATTGAATCCCAAAAAACACGTTTTCTCATTCTTCGTTGTCAAATAAAAAGTTTTCCCACAAAAATTGGTGTACTCATTTTATGCGTCCATGTCTTGAATACCCCCTTGAACAACTTGCACCAATAAAACCAGACTTTACAATTAATTCGGGGAAATTTCCTAATATGATTAGACTAATTAAGGAATATTCATACTCAGCCGTGACGTGTCAGTGCTGTGACCAGCACGTGATCCGCCCGGCGAAGCTAAAAAGATTCTCCCTGGAATTTGGATGAACTGATTCACACTAGACCGGCACGTGGAAGTGGCCGTGTTCTCAGTATGCTCGACGACGCCGTAGCGTGATCATCGCATTGTTTTGGAACGATATTTTTCGATTTCCACTGCCGCGTTTTTATGTAATTTCGTGAATATTTTGATATTTTTGGAACAAAACATGAATGATGAAAAACTAATTAAATTTTTGGGCGCATATCCCCCCGTGCTGTACAACCAGTCCAATTCAAAATACATGGACTTCCGTTTTATTCTCATTTCTTTTTGTTCTTCATGCAGAATTAATGCAATAATTGAATGTTCATCCTCTGAAAATTTTGCCACTGCGACCTCACCTGAACAAAACTGCACTGTCAGAGCACGGAGAAAAATACTGGCCTGTGTAAATTGAAAACACTGTGAGCTCAAGTCGGCGAGAATCACTGGCATGTCACGGCACTGTCACGTCACGGCTGAGTGTGATTAGACCTTTATAGAAAGCGTGTTTTTATATATTGAGGACACACGGGAGAAACTCGTAGCCAAAACGCGAATCGTCAGTGAAAGACATGTTTGTTGTATTTTTTCTATTGCTGCAAAGCTGGACCCTGCATATCGGAATACTACAAGCGAAAAGCTTACTTACTGATAAAAAATAAGACTGATTTGAAGTGACAATGTAAAGGTATGGACAGAGTAGTCGAAGCTGAGGCCGCCCAGACATGTCAGCAGCGTTGCAGACTAGGCCTTTTGTGAGCTTTGTCATATTAAGAAGGAAACCTGTCAGAAACGGAAAAATGAAAATTATAACCGAGCTTAAAATTAATACCTAAAACAATATGTTTGCAATAAAGTCACCTGACAAAGGCAACCATGCAGTAATCTGCGCTACTATTAATTATCAGTCATAAAAATTAAGATTTATCAAAAAAAGCTTGTTCCTGCAGATTCAAACGGCCGGATGTTAGACTATTAGAAAAGTACTCATATGGTGGATCGGTGAAGGCATAGCATTACCACATGGGTCGAACAGAGAATCTCTCAGAATTGCTACTATAAAGGAAATCCTCCAAGTCACTGAAAGTTCGTTTTCGTCAAAAAGCAGGTCGATGCATCTTATCCGCGAGACATGTGATTATCCCCCAGAACATTATATCCGCAAAAATTTCCCCAAGTAAAAGTCCCACAAATTTTGAAGAAAACCCCCAAAATGGCAACCCTGTCAAAAAGCACCAGTGGTACTCCAGGCGTCAAGTTTAGGGGTTCGTTTTTACAGCACGAACAGCGTCGCCGTAGTTTCTGGTGGTATACTCGTATACTCGTATACTCTATACCCACTCCTGATCCGCACGGGTATTACGTATCTTAAAAAGTGACATTATGCCGATTTTTTTTTGACATTGTATTGGTTTCTGTGACATGTAGGTTTTTGTACAAGATGTTAACTTAGCACTAGCTAATGGACACGTTGTGAACTCGTTTTGTAGTTGTACGAGTTGCCTAAACGTCATGATGCTTCTGTTATCAATGTTTGGCTCTGATATGATGTAAAATCTGGTTCAGAGATGGCATTATTGGAGGTAACGGCAAATCATAGGTAAATAGTGAGGATTTGTGTTCTAATAATACATGTTGATGATAATTCCATTGGATTCATGTCTCAAATTCACTTACTTGAGATTCAAAGCTAGAAATTA